ACTGGGGTAATCGGGATGGGTGTGTCAGAGGCAATGAGATTGGCACAGGATAGAGCAGGGTTTAGGGCTGTTGTACATAGGGTCACTATGAGTTGCAAACGACTCGACGGCACATAACAACAACAACAAGAAGTTACAAAATACTATCATATTCATCATTATGTTAGCTTAATTACTGCCTTTTGATAGTAAAAAAAAAGTTTTGTTTTTACGAGGAAGCTAAAATACATTTTTAAGTGTATATGTGATTGTTAGTGTGTGTTACCAAGTTGGAACTGACTCATAGCTGGCCCTTCAAGGGTTTTCAGAGGATGTAACTCATCTAAGATGAAATTATCCATCTTTCTCTCAAGGAACAGCTGATGGATTTGAACTTAGTGCCTTTGAGTTGACAGAGCAACTCCTTAACTGTAGACACCAGACCTCCCCTTTATATATATGCTAATACACATATTTATTTAAAATCTCTTCTTACTGAATTTATACTATCATTTAGGAAATTATTGCAGTGCATACCTGTGTGTGCACTTGCATTCTTGAATGTGAGGAGAGAAAAAAAGCAATAATAAAAACAGAGGAAAGCACTTCTAATATCATCTTACAAATGAAACAATAGAATTATTGCATTAAAAAATGAAAGCAAATTTAATAAAATGTACATGAGCATCTTACGAGTTTCAAAGAGCTGATATAATAGACAATGCTGAGAATTATGAGAATGATGAAATTTCTTGGATTAAGTATGTACTTGGACCTTGAAGTTATCAAAGGAAGAGATCTTATTGAATATATAAACTGGGAATTCTCAGGCATTTAAAGAGCCAAGCTATAGATTGTGGATGACGAAAAGATAGTGCAGAAGGAAGCTCAACCCTGGAAGAGCAAAGAGAGGAAGTGAAAGGCGGAAAAATGCAGGAAGGTCAGACCTGAGGAGACCTAAAACAGGCAGATGTCTTCCACAAAGATAGAAATGGAGTGGAGAAGCACTGGTCATGTTCTAGTCTCAGAACCCAGGAGATACTATCAAAGCCAGTTAAAGAGGTGGTTGACTAGAAGGAAATTCTAATATGAAGCTAATGAAAATGGGCTTAATCTCCAATAAAGCATCCACTCTCTTTTCCAAAGACCTTTGGAAATAAAATAAAAACCAGTCTATGGCTGAGGCAGAAGTGGACTATCACATAGTTAAGGTCTTGAAGGAAAGCCCGAGGAAAAGAAAATGGAGTGGTTACAGGGGATTCAAGGGAGGGTTTCAGAGTTGCTTAACTGTGGATTAAATGACTTTGTTCTTATTTGAGATTTATGTTTAAGTTCCTCCCCATGTTTACACCCACAGGATTCAGGTAGTACACATGAAAAACTTAAACAGGCATGAGGTTCCTTCCAGAGCATCATTGCCCAATGCTGTAGGTTCTTCTTATGTGGTTACGTAAGTTTGAACTTAAGTTAAATAAAACTTAAATTCTAGGTTTTTTGTCATATTAACTATGTATATGTCCCATAGTCACATGACACTACTTATCAGACAAAGCAGATATAGAACATTTTTCAGCACCCAGTATTCTCGTGTTCAAGTTTGCTCTGAGAAAAACAGGAAGAAAGGTTCTGAATTCCAGGTTATCTTCTTAGAGGAGAAAATGCCTCTTATAGAGCCTTAGAAGAATTCTGAAGATAAATGAAAACTTCAGGAAAGTTCCACCACTTGTCTGTGAGTTTGCTGTACTAAGGTGACTTGTATGGTACTGTTATGGTGGAGGTTATGCTACCAGTATTTCAAATAACATCAGAGTTTCCAGTGATTGGCAGGTTTCTGTGGAGTTTCCAGTCTAAGAGTAAGAAGCAGAACTAGCTATCTACTTCTGAAATAGTGGGCCATCAAAAAACTCAATGAAATATTGAAAAACGTTGTTGGGTAAATAATAAGAAAGTGAGTCTCTCAGGTTAGTTGTTGTTGTTGTTGCTCTTGTTGTTATGTGCCGTCGAGTCGCTTGCAACTCATAGTGACCCTATGAACAACAGCCCTAAACTCCGCTCTGTCCTGTGCCAATCGCACTGTCTCTGACACTCCCA